GTATGAAGGAGTAGGGAGTAATCAATGAAGTAGTTGCCTAGACAACGGATAACGTTACAACAAAATAACAGACTTAACAAGGTGATAGACACGTTTACTTGGTTAATAACGTTCAAACATCAGCTATTTTATTCACTTAACATAAAATATACATCCAGTTTAAACTCACCCATCTTGCAGCTCTTGACTTCTACCAGGAGTTGATTCAAAACTGAGCTCGTCCGAATAGAATGTGCGCGTCCGGTGTGCGATACCTGTGAATTGTTCTAGAAGTGGCGCGACGCGGCGCTGCGCTGCGCGCCCGGTGTGCGACCCCCTTTAGGCTACATATCTTCAAATATATCAGTGTCATTGTTTTCTCTCAAGAGTAAGTTTTTTTTTCAAAGGCACGTTTATAAAAGCTACTTAAATTACTTTATAGCACTATAAGGCATAATCCTGACTTAATCTAAGCCCTGTCGGTGAAACCAGGACCTAGTTTTAGTGATATACGCTAAATGATGAGAGTTTATTTCAAGAATATTCTCTCCAGTAATACATAATTAATACAGTTTTAGCTAACTGTGATTATGTGCATTTCCAACGCGTTCTCACCCCAAGGCGTCACCTTTGACCATGCTTCAATATTTGACGTTTTAGGCGCCCTTTAGCGTCACTTACATGACGCGATCCTACGGCGTCCTCTAACTGACGCTAAAGGAAAGCGTCAGTTAGAGGACGCGGTTAGGTTTAGGTGTGGGGTGGGGGTAGGGTACACGCGATCCTAGGACGTCATCTAACTGACGCTAAAGGGCGCCTAAAGCGTCAGATATTGAAGCATACCCAAATGCTTCCCAAGGCGTCAGTTAAGTGACGCCTTGGGGGTGAGAATGGGCTGCAACGCCTCCCCGATAACGGATCACCCTAAATTATAATGTGGACTGTGGCATTTTCTGAAAAGCTGCTTTGAAATGATGTGTATTGTGAAAAGCACTATACAAATAAATGTCAATTGAATTGATAAACCCTCAGCACTGAGAGTGTCACTCAGATACCAGTAAGAATAAATGAGCATAATGTCTGTTGTGAGGTCACTTCACAGCTGACCCTGCCTTGACCTGGTTTGCATGCACGGAACTCGGGCGGCTGTGATTCAGGGGATGCCGCAGTAGTTCCAGTGAGCAGCATGTGTTGTAAGTAAGTAAGTAAACTTTATTTATATAGCACTTTTCACAGACATGAAGGGTCACAAAGTGCTTTACAGTAAAAAACAAATAATAAAAGAAATAAAAACCACAACACACATTACAACACCACCATATAGCTAGTTAAAAGCTTGTCTAAAAAGATGTGTTTTAAGGTGTTTACTAACATTTTCTAGAGAGTCCAAAGCTCTCAAGACTTGGAAGAGAATTCCAGAGCCTTGGAGCCACCACACAAAACGCACGATCACCTCTTGTTTTAAAACGTGTTCTAGGAACAATAAAACAGTTGTTGTGTGTAGGCCCATAGGTTTGAATGTGTATGAGAGCTAGTGTACAGTGCCTTGACCAGGGACAGATATTTAGTGCACTGGAAGTTTATTCAATTAAACAAATCGGCATGGCTACAGTGTATCCTGCAGTAAGACTATCCAAAATGAATAAAATAAAATAACAACAAACCATCGCTTGTTTGCTGTTGATCTTGACCACAGGGTGGCGCATGTTTGCCATTTCAGATTGAATATGCAATAGAAAAAAGTAAAAAAGTACAAAGCTTTTTTATAATATACATTTATTGGTAATGTAATTCTAAGCTTTACTTTCTCTTAACTGCATTCAATAAAACCACTAATCAGAAAATATCCCAAAGACAAATAGAATCTTGTATTTTTTTGTCTTTGCGTTTTGTTAGAGAACTTAATAAAAACTCAAAGACTCAAAAAACAAGAGTTTATTTCAGGCATGTAAACAGAAATAATATACAATAAAATGTACAAATGTTTAAGTACTTGAAAAATGTTACATTATCCATAACATGCATTCAGCAAGTGACAAATACTGTGTGAAGTGTCAATATACATTCAGTAAACTGTGTGTTAGTACTTATAAGCAGAACATTAAAGACCATCTGACAAAAGAATCAACTAAAATTTCTTAAAAGTGATTTAATTAGAAAATTAAATAAAATAAATCAACATGTTTTTATCAATGCATAACATTAAGTAGTGGATTCAGATTCATATTCTGTTATTATTCATTTGTCTTAGTTTAATTAATAAAATCAATGATAAATGAAAATGTTTTTCTAAAAAGCATTCAGTTATTCTGTGCGTTACTATTTTAATCACGGTCACGTTATTACTGCACACTGTAAAAAATGATATGGTCAATATGTTACAACAACATGTTTTTTGCTTTAACTCGTCAAAATAAGTTAAGCAATTTATTTCAAAAAGGTTCACCTCAATTTTTTGAGTCAGTTTAATGTAAAGTAATTTGGAATTACTTAAACTTTCGAGTTGATTTGTACTTAAAATTTTAAGGCAGCAACTTTTTTCTTTTCTTTTTTTACAGTGCATGATTTAAAGGTGCCATCTAACATAATAAATCAAATCCTACTCCATATTCCATAACAGATGGGGGCAGTATACCTCCAAAAAATGACTTGTGCTCCTACCATCGCGCATGTTATTCAAATCATTTGACATGATAGTAAAAGGTTGGAAGACCGCAGTTTCACGTGGAACATTTGGAGATTTTTAGAGATCAGAGACTCAATGAACTAAACACTAGAGTGAACTAAACTAAACACTATGAATCTCAACACTAAATGATGAAGACCGCCTCATAGATCTCAAAAACAAGCTGGTGCATTTCGACGGTATGGGAAAATAAAAGCTTGGGCAATTATTTGAAGTTTATGGTATTCGTTATGTTCATATTACACTTTTATTGTTAGTGAATTAATTTGACAGACAGCATTCGCTGATGTTGATCAAGCTAGCGCCGTGAATTCACCGTGAGACACACGCAAATGACACTTAGCAAGCAGGTTAGTTAAGCTCTCAGATTCTGTTAATTATATTACGCAATTCAAAGAATAAATACCGTTTTGGCGCTTGTACATGTTACACTACAGATCCCTAGAGCACGTGAACCGATCGTCTCTACTAGCTTGAAAAAGAACATGAACTCTGTTGAAAGATACAGTATGCTACAACTTACCAAAATGTATTCCTCATGCATAATGTCGACCAATCATTTTTTGAACTCTTCCCTGAACTGAAATGTAGTAACGGGCTGTATTTCCACACGACTGACATCAGGTTCAAGTACACACACAAGCCGGCGCGAGCGCGACTCACTCGCGTATTGCAGTTTGGCTGGTGCTAACGTTGCCCGTCCGCATACCGCCTCCCATGGCCAGAACTGGTATTACGATACCTGCCGGGCCGGGGCTAGTAATTTAGCATGCTAATTTAGGTTAATATCTCGGCAGCACTATAACTTGTCAGTTTTTTAATGACATCTTTGCACTTATTTCTTCTCATTCTTTTGATGCGTGTAGCTCATTTTTCGTATATTGTTACCTCAATTATTACATATGGCACCTTTAACTGAACTATGAATAAATAAGTTGTATTGGATCTTAGTACTTATCACCCTCACTGCTGGTTTGCATTTCGTATAAAAAAGTGATAGAAATGCCATAAATAAAGAGTTTAAAAGCAACCAAAGCTTCATGCTGATTTAAGTGCTTATTGAACACTTTCAGCTTCAGGGCAAACATAAACTGGTAGCTTCAGAAGCCAGTGCATGTTTAATTACATTAAATTTATCCTCAAAAGTACAAAATGTTTCACTAAATCAATAATAAAAAAAAAAAATGATGTGAAACGACGACAAGCAAATGAAAAGACTTCCTTAGAAACAAACTAAACTGTCACATTTTAAAAGCTGTTAATCGGTTATGTGATAGAAAGATAAATTGTTATCTTTGCAATTAAACATTGATCATCAAAATAACAATACATTTGAGCAAGTAACTGTAAATGCTGGATGTGTATTAGGTATAATGAAACATGATAGGGATGCTAATGTGTCTGTCTTGTCAGACACATTTGGTCAGTCTTGTTCAGTCTGACTCTCTGAGGCATGCATTCCACGCGTACCCGATGTGGGCCGGATCTGGGTCGACACTATGTTGCTGTCGGGGAGACAGAATGCTATTAAGAAGTAGGATGCAATATGCTAAGCTGGCTAGTTTCTACTTTCTGACCCTGATTCATCCATACATGCAGTTTTTCCAACATACAATGCCCTGTTGAAAGCATATAGTGTATATTCTCGGTATATTGTGTCATCATCATGCCCATTATTATTCATTACATAACTGGGCTGAACAACCTGACATTCAGGACACAATTGCACATCTGGCTCAAAGTAAAAATGGCCCATAAGCCAAGGATTTCACAGACTTGCAATTAACAATTTGCAAGTACACCCTCCACATGAAAAAGGCTCATTATAGGCAAGTGAAACATTACAACAGAATCCATATTTCAGTACACTGAAATACAGCATATATTTGTTTTATGGTCTGAGTTAGCCTTGGTTAATTTAATTTTATAGTGACATTTTTGTCTTTAGGAAAACTAGAGATTCTGTTGTTATTTGTTTTAAGGTGTAAAATGCTAAATGAGTCAATAAGCAAATGTAATGCTGTTAGTAAAGTCTGTATAAACACAAACGTACATAATATTACATCTTTACATTGAACTATTAAGACTAATTTACTTGATTAAATTCTGATTAACAGGTTGCCATTGTTAATTTTATTTAACTGTTAGTGCAAAATCAGAGCCATATGTTTATTTTGAACACTACAGTTTAAAGTAAGTAAAAATTAACCGTAAATCTATGTCTCAATATGTGTTAATTGTTAAATATCGGGGGTCCTTTCCTGTAATTCCTCTAAATTACTTTTGAATGATTAGTAATCATTACCATTGACATTTTTTCTTTCTTTTTTTTAAAAAAAGTTTTAATTTCAGGTTCTGTGCGTCAAAAATGATTGATGTCTGCACTAAGAGCCCAATCATTTCCAATACCATTAGACAAACAGCTGATGGTCTTCTCAAGGGCAGTACTGAGAGGAGCCATTGATTGCATCAATAATACTGATTACAACTCGTAGTTCATACTTGCTGTTGTGTGCCAAAGTATAACTCAGTCTCCTGAAGGGTCTCAGTATTGTTGGGCTTTCCAAAGGTTGAGTGTTCACCATGGCTTGAACCTGCTACACAATTGACTCCTTCAGGTTTTCCGCAGCCCTTGAGGAGTCAGGAGCGGGAAAAGGCGCGGAGTGCAAGACTACGTCGCTCTGAACCTTCACCGGAGGACGCTTAGCCCCGTGCTGTGTTTCCCCATGGTGAGAGAAAGAGAAACCCAGACGATTGGTGTCCTCAATGGCTTGATCTCCATAAAGATACCTAATCTTGTTAGCGATCATCCCTTCGATCTCCGGAGCCTCTTCTTCTAGTCTCTTCGAGTCTGTCTTCTCTCTGTACACATACGAGGCTTGTTTGAGGCAGCGTTTGAGGATGTGTGAGCGGTAGGCTTTTTGGATGGTCGCAGCGGACACTTCTTCTTGCTTACGTCTGAGAGTGCTGGTGATGGGCTCGTACGAAACCTTTGAGGGGTTGTTCGCCATGAACTTCTCCTCCATAGTTCCTTTCATGGCATCCATCTGTCCAGAATCGCCCAGGACCTCTGTGGTGAGGGCCAGGAGGATGTCCAGACAGTGGATCTTATCACCAGGGACCATGGGAAGGTCCATTGTGATCAACTTCAATGTGTTTGGTTTCGGGATTCTCAAGGGGTCTTTCAGCGTGTCGCAGAATTCAGACAGTCTACTGTAATCGATGAACTGAGAAGCAGAGGGGTCAAATTTCTCCCAGGTTTCATAGAACATCTCGAAGTCGTCCTCGCACAAGGGGTCGCCACTTTCTTCCGTCGCTACGTTGAAGTTTTCCAGGATAATGGCTATGTACATGTTGACCACGACGAGGAACGACATGACAATGTAGCTGCAGAAGAAGACGATGCCCACCGCAGGGCTCCCACAGTTTCCTTGGATAGGCGATCCTGGGTTCTCCACATTTGGGTCACAGTTTGGTGGACTGTTGAGAATAGGAGACAACAGTCCATCCCAGCCGGCGGACGTCGTGATCATGAACAAGCATATGATGCTGTTCCCGAAGGTCTCGAAATTAAACATGTCATCGATGCCTCCTTCTTTTTTCACGTACGCAAAGTTAGACATGCCGAATATAGAGAAAATGAACATGATTAGGAATAGAAGGAGGCCAATGTTGAAGAGGGCAGGTAGTGACATCATCAGCGCAAACAGTAACGTCCTGATTCCTTTCGCACCCCGGATGAGACGCAGGACGCGGCCGATTCTGGCCAGTCGGATGACTCGGAACAGCGTAGGTGACACAAAGTACTTCTCGATGAGGTCTGCCAGCAAAAGACCTGTGAGACAACAAAGAATTAACATGGAGGTCAATTATAACCAATTACTGTAGATAATTATATGATTTAATCTACAATAATCTAATCTACAATTATATAATCTAGGTTGATTTCATGATTTTCAAAAACATTCATTGTATTTTCAAGCCTCTAAAAGTGTAATGTAAATCAAGTCTGTAAATCAAGCACCCTGAATATGAGTTTGAGTTTAATATTTGGATACATAATCTTTTTATTTTAAGAAATAAAAATAAATGGATATATATATTTTGTTTTTGGGAAGTTACACCACATGATATTTTACAATCTGAACTAACTTTGACTTGCCATAAACAAGTAAAGTTAAGAGGCCTCGACACAGTTGTGTCTTCTCTATGATATCGATATCTTTTTTTTGTTTTTTAGCATGTTTAGCATGTTTTTAAAATGACAATAAAATGAATTTTAGAAAATCATAGAAGATTAATTCAGTTTGAATTAAAATAAATATATAGAACCAAAAAAATTAGCATCCATTAACATTTTTTTTTACACCATGATTGCTTAGTGATTACTATTAATAAAGCAGCCCTACCTGCGATTGAAAGAATGACCACCACAAAATCAAAAATGTTCCACCCAACGGAGAAGTAGTGATAGCGCAGGGCGATGATCTTGAGAATGCACTCCCCAGTGAAGAGCACGATGAAGACACAGTTGATCAAGAACAGGATATTTTCCATCTCCGCACTCTGGTCATCCGTCTCTACCATCATGGTCACCATGTTCAGGCAGATCATCACCATAATGAAGATGTCAAAGAATTGCTTGGTGACCAGGTCGAATACCAAGCCTTGGAAGCAGTTCTTCAAACATCAGATATGTCCAGGCAGCATATTTGGGAGAAGAGCATCCCGAGGAGGAGAAGATGCAGTTAGTACTTTAAAAATAATAACACATCAGATTCAAAACCTACACCAAAATATATTTAAAATACATTTATTTCATACTAAGTATACTACAATTCCATTAACATTTACTGACATATCTACAAAATATTGCAATTAACCTTTATTTGGAGTACTTATTTATTGCACAATTCATTTTTTCTGAATATCAATCCTAAATATGTGTTTTAATATCACTATTAGTAAGGATAGTATGATCACTCTATAATATCAGTCTTTAAATGCAAGTGTCCCTAAAGTATACTTGCAATAGTTCCAATTTAGCAAATTCAAATATATCTTTAGTTGGACCTCTCAGCACTATTTCTGGATAACTAAAGTACATTAAGTGCAAAATTAGTTATTCCAATTTAGCAGACTATTATACTATCAATTTAGTATACCAAAAGTACAATTGAAAAATGTATAAATATATATATATTACCGTAGGCCTTGGAATTGGTTTCTGTGGCTTTTTGGAGCCAAGTTTCTTCATGGCATTATAGTATTTTTTCTGCTCTTCTGTCATGAAGATGTCTGTTCCTCCTAAGTATAGGCACAGAGACAATTATTCCAGGCCATAAAGTGTTTTAGTGTCGCTACAGATGAAGAAGACCCATTGCCGACACTTATCTTTGCCTTTTGTTGGTTGAAATTGTCAATGATGACACCAATGAATAGATTGAGGGTGAAGAAAGAGCCAAAAATGATGAAGATCACAAAGTAAATGTACATGTAGAGATTTGACTCATATTCTGGCTGATCCTCCACCTGCACAGATAACACCGTTAAAGAATCGCAGACGTATTTCAGGAAAACAATATTGCGCAGTCGAAATTGAATCATTTGGGCTCACAAATGTGAGATGACACAACTAGTCATGATTCTCTTATTCTGTTAGTTAATGGTTAAAATCAACATTACGTTACGGGAATCCACAGCACTATACATGATGTCCATCCATCCTTTAAATGTTGCCTGGAAAGCAAAAGTGTATTTTTCAGTGTATTTGCCATTGCAGATCAGTGCACATCTGTTTAAGGAGGGCAGACATTTGACGCCCAATATCAATGCTCACCACTTGCAGTAAGGAGAGGTAGCCCATGCCTACGTTATCAAAGGTGACCTTCAAATTCTTCCATCGCACATCTGATGCATTTTCCATGAGCCTAAAGCAATCTGTCTTATTGTTGACCTCACTGGTATGGAAAACTGTCTCGGATGTTTCGTTGTAGCAGTAGTAGAACTTTCCAGCAAAAAGGTTGACGCCCATGATGCTGAAGATGAGCCAAAAAATTAGGCACACCAGGAGAACGTTGAAGATGGAGGGGATGGCCCCCACCAGGGCATTCACCACCACCTATGCATATTGACAGCGTGAGAGCCTGGAACCCAACCTTAAACCGTTAAACTTCACTAAGATTGAACAGACAACTTTTTTTTTTTTTTACTTAAATGATGCTTATCTACTTTTTAACTTCAAAATGATTAATAGCTTTTAGTCATGTTACTGATGTGGACACCACCATAGAACTTCAACACAGACTTTTTCTAACCACAAATAATTAGATCACCTCTCAAAAGAAGAAAAACAAAAATATGTGAACAAAATGGAAGTTTTGGGCGTTTGTGGTCCATATACAGTACATCACCTGCTGCAGTATTTTAACCTGTTAACTGTCACCCCCCCTTTTTTGAATAGACATGAAAATGCACATTTCGAACTTAAATGGTTGTAATTCAAGAATGCTTTGGAATATAGACATATGATTGGTCTTGTTTTAAAGAAGACATTTGGCAGATTTTTGTAGAAGTGAAATAAATTAAGAAAGTGAAACAGAAAAAAAGTTATAGAGGTTTGAGTTTATGGAAATGTACAATGCAAAAATATTAATTATTCATATTTTACATAAAATATATATTTTCAAAACCTGGGCTACTCTAAAACGGCAGAAAAATCAAAGCCAAAAATCTGAACAAGTTGTGTTTCAAATTTTAGGTTGATATCTCAAAAAATGAGCTTTCAGTAAGATTTTGTTTGAGCGCAGTACCAAACTTTTTCACTAGGGCACAATCAGACTCCATTACTGCCCATATAAGGGCGTCTGCATTTCCATTCGTGTTTTGAGTGATATGAACCATTATTTTCACAATTTTCATACAATTTCTGAAGTAGAGATCCTATTCAGAAGTAGTATGGGAAGTTTGGCAGATTTTGATATGAATTGAACCTCTAAGAAACACATACAAAGAACACGCATGTAAGTCATAGCTAGCTGCCACGTCACAAATGGTGAATTTATTATTTTTTTCTTGATATTTCAAACTTTTCAGACCTTTTTTTTCCAAAATAATTGAATGGATTCTATCTTTTGAACTTTTGGCATGAAAACAAACTGAGGTATCTACCATTGTTTCATGATTTTTCATGTTTACTGCTATTTTAAAATAAAGGTCTGAACACGCCTTATGAGTATGAAAATATTCTTGTTTTATATTGATAAATTAAGACTCCTCTGTAATATATTTTGAAAATCAGTCACCAAATATGGAAACTAGAGATTGTAAGCTTTCAAATGATATATAGTTTGTCAATATTATTTAAGGTATTTACTAAGATATTATTGTTTTAAAAATATAGTGGCAAACGTCCCACCTGTGGGACGGTGACAGTTAAGTACGGGACGTCAAATTCAGTATAAACCTTATTGATGATCGATGAAAATTTTGACGTAAATGGACACTAAGTTACAACTTACGCACTACTAAATATTTTTGCGTTGAAGCTCAACTCTACGTATAAACTAAATATTTACGGAAGCCTCCGATCAGGAGTAACGGTTGTAATAGCAGACAGACTGAACTGCATCAATAAGCTCGTTTTACCCGACAGACTCAATTTTTTAGATTGTGATAATGCTGACATTTACACTTGCTTATATTTTAAGAGAAAGAACATTTTGGAAAATATTACTTTGTTAGTGGCTCTTTAAAACATATCCGTCCTAAACAGCATGCCGCTGTGTGCATTGGTCCGTGTTGTTGCCAAATAAAATCAGTCATTATAAATGTAATTTTTAAATATTTTTTTTGCATCAGAATTCATTTGTTGATCCTTATTAATTTTGTTAGAAATACAGTTTCTGAATATTATTTAGCCTACATATAAATATACTTATGTTATTCATGATTAATTGGTATCGTATTTAATGGAAACTTATTTTTAGTTAGTTACGTGAGGCAGAAGAAGTTAGAATGAATGATAAACTGAAATGTACAGCATGTAAACACAACTTCCACTCACGTATTTGAAGGCTGTTGTTGGAATATTGAGGGTAAACTTTATATTATGAGATTGCACTACTTTACAGACAGCTTACAAACTACTAGCAAAGTTCTGCCTTAAGAACAAAAGGTCCAACTGAATAAAGCACAGGGTTACTTACAAACTAGCTAGTAGTTACTAAGCCTCTAGTGTGGACTTTGAATGACTGGTGCAACCCCACCCTGTTTCCCATGTACATACAGTAACGTGTGCTTTTCTAGTAATAACACTAACTGTGTAATAACTATACTAACCCTGAAACTACCCCTATCCCATGTTGTTACCTTATATTACTCAGTATTTTTGTGGGTAAGTACACTGCAAGTACATTGAATCTGCACCTACTGTAAAATAAAGAGTAACTAAGAAATGTGAGGAATAGCAGAACTAATAATATTGTGGACAGCTAATTGATGAATGCAGTTACGATGAGGGTGGAAGCAGAAAACGTAATACACACACACACACACACTTACCCTCATTCCTTCAAATCTGGAGAGAGCTCGGAGAGGTCTTAGCGCTCTCAAAGTCCTGAGAGACTTAATGGCCCCCAGTTCAGAGTAGCCTAAGATATTTGCAGTTAAGCTGATCAGGGACACCTGAAGAAAGAATAATTCAAATAAAGTATATTACTAAGTATAAGAATAAAGTATATTACTGGTTATTTTCACATCAATAACACATCTTAAAGCCCTAATTCTCAAAATACTGAATTAACCCTTCTGTCGTCTTTAAATACATATTACTTACCATTACCTGATCCATTGTTGGTAAATAATATGCATTTAAATATCACATAAATATGACATTGTTAAGAATATCTAAAAGCACATGTTCTCATTTTCTAAGAAAATGGCAAAATATTTTACAGATTTTCTCAAAAAACAAGAAAATGTACTTTCAGATATTCTTGACAATGTCATATTTATGGGGGGCTGGGTAAAATATCGTATTTCCGATAACTGTAATCTAGCGATTCATAAAATTCCAACATTGATCTTTTACTCCACTTCAATTTTCAGCGCCTGTTGAGTTTTTTTTTTTTTTTTTTTTTTTGATGTTACTGCGATCTGAGGAACTGACGTAGTTGATAATCTTTAAAAAAGATTAAGCACTACATGATGAAAAATATGATATTTTCATTATATAGTGCTTCGTGGCTGCTAATTCATCAGCACCATAGTGAAAGAAAACATACTTTACCTGAGTTGTGAATGTGAGTTCATAGTCTATATAGTAGCAGTAGTGGTCTAATGGTTAGAAAGGCAGACTCATAACCCAAAGGAATCCATCAGGAAATGACTGTTATTGACGTGCAAATGAGTAAGGTGTCAACGATTTAAAGTGTGTGTGTGTGTGTGTGTGTGTGTGTGCACTAACTTGGATAGGTTAAATGCAGAGGACAAATTTGGACTATGGGTTACCATACTTGGCCTTCACATGTCAGTATAGTGAATGGGATGCAATAAAAAGACAAATAAAAAAAACATGACGTCTTTATACTGCGCTACTAAACATTTGTAGTGCTGCAGCAATTTGTTTCATATAAGTGGAGAGAAATTAATTTGTAGTGACATATTGAATACTCCAGTCACAATAATAGAAATATAATTGTGAAACAGACATGAACCAAAATTTGGCTTTAAGATACCATTTACCAATAGCAGAATAATGCAAAAGCTGTTATAAAATAAGAGATATTACAGAAATAATATGTAACTTAACTGTACATTAGGAATTCATTAATTTATAATGGCTTTCAGTGTGAGTCAAATTTGACCCAAGGATAACAGCTAGATGAAGTGTGAATAGATTATTTGTGGTTTTAACATCAAATTTTCAAGTGGGATGAACTAATACTTACATCAACGATCAGAAAGTCCAGCCAACACCATGCGTTTGTGAAATAGACCTTGAAACCATAGGCTATCCATTTCAGAAGCATCTCAATGACAAACACATAGGTGAAGACCTGATCTGCATATTCAAGGATGATTTTAATCATTCTCCGTTGTTCAATGTATATGTCCTCAAATGCCTAATTTTAAAAAAGCATACATATGAGAAAAAAAAAATAATTCATTGGACTCTGGTTAAACAAATAAAAATGGTTTATTGATTGACTCACCAAAGCTCCACTGCTGAGGAGAATCATGAAGATGATGAAGGTTTCAAAATAGCTGTGCTCCACAATGGCGTAGCAGGCTTTACGTAAGTTCCACCATGCCTTCCCTTTACCCTGGGTAATGTCAAGCTCCAAGATAGGACATCGCCTGATGCAGTCTGGGAACGCAGACAAAGCATTATGTTAATAACAAGAACTCAATATAATACACATAGTCATTTGTTGATGTCTCACTCTCTGTGTAGCAGTCCTCAGGGAAGGTGGAATCCTCTTCATCCTCCACCTCTAACTCTTCTACCTCAGGAGGTTTGTCCACTGTGCTGCAGGTTGATGATTCATCTCCATATTTCTTCTGTACAGATGAAAAAACTGCTGGTTAATTCTGGATCTGGATTGAATATAACTTTTACAAACAAATTAATATCCTCTGTGTCTAGAAACCGACAAAAAAGTGTCTCAAACTGCTTGAGGGAGGTTCAAACTTGCTTCCGAGTTTCCAAATTGGATTCGGCTGGTAAAGCCACACTCACATTAGACTTCAAGCATGCAAAATTTCTTATAACATATATATGATACAGTATATGGATATCTGCAAAATTTTCGTAATAGGATGTCAAACTCTGCAACATCTTTTTTCTTACATTTACTTTCATACATTTGGCAGATGCTTTTATTCAAAGCAACTTACTGTGAATAGTATACAATTTATCAGTTAATGCATGCCCTGCTAGTGCCATGCTATACTGTCTGAGCTACAGGATTCCAGCAGATTTAAAGGGATAGTTCACTTTGAAATTAATGTTTGATATGTTTTAGCTTAAAACATCTTTAGCATCCAAGATGTAGGTGTCTTTGTTTCCACAGTATTTTGATTTAGGAGGTTACAAGAGGTAAAAACGATATAAATACTGTTCGTTTTCTCACACAAACTGCTCGTTTCGTGTCTTAGGCCATCAGTGTGTACACTGTAAAAATGAATATGCTTTATCTAATCAATAAAATTGTGGCAACAGATTACAAGCAATATTATTTATTAAATTGAACAAATTAGAATTGAGTAATAGTTAATCAAATTAACATTCTAATTAATTCTAATTTGTACAATTTAATTAATAATATTGCTTGTAATATGTTGCCACAATTTTATTGATTAGATAAAGCATATTATTTTTTTCAGTGTACTTACATTACGAGTCATTATATCTTGCTTAATTTGGATTTCTCTGTTCAAATTCTTTGAGGTGGACCCAAGGGTAGACGTCCATTATATGACTGACAGACAAGAACAGTTTGACTTAAAAATATGAAAATTGAAAATACTGTGGAAACAAAGACACCTACATCTTGGATGCCCTTGAGGTAAGCTAAAACATATCAAAAATTTTAATTCAGCTAAGAAGTCACACTGTGACACACTGATCTTCAGTTGCTCACGCATCTTCCTGTGATCAGAGTTCACCAAACTGGAACTTTGGAATTGGCATGAGATTGCATTTCCTGTCTCCTGCGTTGGCATGCTTATGAATGGAAGTCAATAGAATGAAAAATCGAAGGTGATCTAGTGGTTTAGGTTGAATTGTACGAGCAAATCAAAGATATTTTGACTGTCAACTCAAGCAAATGGCATTATTTGCTAAACATCATGTGCAGTCTTACAAAAAAAAATAACAGTAAGGGACATTTTATTTTCAATTTACCCATCATTGGCAGGTGTCTTCAAAGTAACTAACGTGACTAAAAGTTACAAGATTAGGATTTATGAAGAAAAAACTATGTTACAGTAACCTTACAGATCTCATTCGACTGTTCACACGAGACTAAAGTACAACTTTGCTTTCGTGTCCCCTCTCTCTGCTACATAGCTGGTTGTGAAATGCAGGGCTGTGCGACACATGAGGGCATGACATATGAACTGTGTTACCTGATCCAGTGGCATGCCAACAATCAGTTGCTTAATGAGTTAGAGCCAGCACGCTTAAACAAACCAAATATGAAATCAAATGTGTGGCTTGAATTGTTAAGACATGCATTTTACAGTGCATTGGTATATAGTGCAGGTATGGATTGATTTTAGAAAGTTTATTAGGCATGGATGTGGTTCTTCAGGGTGTCGTTCAGCAAGGTCACTAATCATGCTTCGCGAGTGCTCTTTCCCACGCCCCGTCACCGTGTCACATGATCTCTGCCATTCCTCAGACATACTCTCTAAACAAGATGACCCATAGGGCTCCAGATGGACTTTGCAGGTGTCACGGTATTTGGGACACATGTCAATGTGTCAAAAGGTGTTGATGGACGGATGTCAGTGACACTCTGGCGATCGGTTTTGCATTTGTGTGAACTTTCACATTAGATTTTAGGAACTCAACTATCAGAATTATTCACTGAACAAAACTCACTTTATCGACGCCTTCTTTGTCTTCATCCTCAGAAGAGCTGTTGCCATCCTCATCATCCGATTCACCATTGGCCATAGGCACTTTGATAACGGACATACTGGAATTCATGGTGGCCATTGTAGAATCTCCCTCTTTGTTTGCGTCCGCACCCTCTTCCTTTGGCATCAGGCCCAGAAGCTGTCTTGTATGTCCGATAATGAAGGCCTTTACCCAGTCAATCCCTCTTGTTATTCTAGAAATGGCAATCTGCAGATTGTTCATCTCCCCATCATCATCAGATGCTGACAGGTTGTCCCCACTGAAGGAACTGAGCAGCAGAGCCAGGAAGAGATTCAACACCTTCAGGAAGAGAATGAGAAATAATTTAATAATGCAAAAGATTAATTACAATGACATACAGGAACACATTTGGGATGGGGATATCTATCTATCTATCTATCTATCTATCTATCTATCTATCTATCTATCTATCTATCTATCTATCTATCTATCTATCTATCTATCTATCTATCTATCTATCTATCTATCTATCTATCTATCTATCTATCTATCTATCTATCTATCTATCTATCTATCTATCTATCTATCTATCTATCTATCTATCTATCTATCTATCTATCTATCTATCTATCTATCTATCTATCTATCTATCTATCTATCTATCTATCTATCTATCTATCTATCTATCTATCTATCTATCTATCTATCTATCTATCTATCTATCTATCTATCTATCTATCTATCTATCTATCTATCTATCTATCTATCTATCTATCTATCTATCTATCTATCTATCTATCTATCTATCTATCTATCTATCTATCTATCTATCTATCTATCTATCTATCTATCTATCTATCTATCTATCTATCTATCAAAGATGGAGTTAATCTACTCACCACTAGGTTTCCTATAACCATGACCATCATGAAGACGATGATGCACATGCCTTGGTCAGCCACCTCCATGCAGTCCCACATTGTTTCGATCCATTCCCCGCATAGAATACGAAAGATGATGAGGAATGAGTGAAAGAAATCTGTCATGTGCCAGCGAGGGAGCACACAATCCTCTGAGATCTTACACACACAGTCCCTGTAGCTCTTTCCGAAAAGCTGCATCCCCACCACAGCAAAGATGAAGACAATAATGGCCAGGACAAGGGTCAGGTTTCCAAGAGCACCCACAGAATCGCCGATGATCCTTATCAGCATGTTAAGGGTTGGCCAAGACTTTGCCAGCTTGAACACACGCATCTGCAACCAACAGAGTCATGATTTGAATAGAGAGATTAGTCCTGAAATTCTGAACAGTGCAACTTCAGTAAACACATTTGTACATAAAATGTATTCAAGTCTATTATAGTTATTTATGACATTAGAAAAGCAACAATGGTACAAAAGATAATGTTACAAAAGAATTATATTTCAAATAAATGCTGTTATTTTGAACTTTCTATTCATCAAAAAGTCCTGGAAAAAAAATACATCACAGTTTCCACTAAAATTGCACAAAAAAAAAAACAGTTTTGCATTGATGATAATACAGTAAGGAACCTTTTTTTGAACATCAAATCATCTGATGATTTCTGAAAGATCATGCGACACTGAAGACTGGAGTAATGATGCTGAAAAAGTAGCTTTGCCATCACTTTGGTAATTTGGTAATTTGATGCAATCTATATTGTGAAAAGTGCTATATAAATATACTTGACTTGACTAAGCTGCTCTTTTCCACACAATGAAAGTGAATGGTGACCACTAACTCTCAAGTGAGATTATAAAAAATGACTTCAATTTTAGTCTTTTACTTACATAAAGTATAGTTTTCCTTTAGGAGACTTGGAATTTAGTTAACGAGTCACATGACTTTTTTGTTATGATTCTATTATGCTTGACAGCCATTGGTCCCCATCTACTTCCAGTTGTTCTGATTCTTTCATTTGTCTTCCATGGAACAAAGTTTTATACATTCGGATCAACATGAGGGTGTGTAAATTATGACAGAATTGTAACGTTTAGGTTAACTATTCCTACCAGATTATTTCACCTACCAGACGGAAGGACCTTAGCACAGACAAGCCCTCAACATCGGCTAAGAACAACTCCACCAGGCTCATGGTCACAATTATGCTGTCAAAAATGTTCCAGCCAACCTGAAAGTAATAATAAGGGTCCAGTGCAATAAGTTTTAGCACCATCTCTGCTGCGAAGATACCTGTGAAAACCTGCATGGGATAGAACACAACATGATAGTTAGTACAACATGAAGTTATACAGAATAAGTTTTCAATATACATTTAACAATGATAGGTAGATATACTTACCAGGTTTCCCACCGACAATGTGTTTTCAAAACTCTCAGTCATGGGATAGTGCTCCATAGCCATGAACACTGTGTTGAGCACAATGCAGATGGTGATGCCCAGATCCACAAAAGGGTCCATTACAAATAGGTAGACAATCTTCTTAAATTTCACCCATGGAAGGCAGCAATTCCATTTCAGGAATATATCAGCAAACTTGTACCAGCAGGGAGGACAAGCCCTTTGATTATCTTCCAGCTCTGTTAATTAAAGTATAGTATGTGTGTGTGTGATTTGTATATCATAATATATTATTTGTATTCTTTAATTGTTCTGGAACTCACCATTAACACTTACCATCTAAAGCATTGTCTGTAGCATTCGCTGCACTCAATTTTCTCATCTGAGAGTCAGGGACTTCTAAGTAATTCATGCTGCCTTTGGATCCATCCGATTTCGAAAGGGGTTTCAGTGCGATCCCATCATAGTCGCTCTGAATTTGGTCATCATCACCTTTATTTTTGCTGGATAGGGATGTCTTGCTGCCATTTACCAGCCCGTTCTTCTGCTGTTTGACAAATAAAAACATCAGATAAAATCAGAACTAAAAATTAGTATTTTTCAAGACAAACGATCCAATGCTCAGGCTACGCTGTTTAAGCTCTTATGTTACCGCATGACAAACCTCAGCTTGTTTCTTGAGCTGCTCCAGGATTTTTGCATACTCTTCCTCCTTTTCTTTAGCTTCTGCAAAGGTGGCTTCATTCTGTTCAGCATATGCCATTGCCACCACAGCCAGAATCAGATTGATGAGGTAGAACGAACCCAAGAAGATGATGACTACAAAGAAGATCATATACGTCTTCCCTGCTGCACGGAGCGTCTGAAACATTTAAGACACTTTTCAGTGGTGCTTTTTTGCACAGATATGACTTTGTACAGTATGCTTTAATTATATGGTCAATAACATAGAGAACTAAATGCCCACTTCTATAAAACACTAACATGCATTGAAAGATTTGGAGTAGGTAAGAATTTTTATAAACCTAAAACAAGCATTCATTTTATGTTAAAATTACTGGAATGAATTTTAATTATACAATCTTAACCTTTTGTTATGGATTGATTGATTCATGTAATTTTGTTAACCATATTAACAATTATAATAGTATGGCATTATCACATGCATGAAGGTGAGAAACAATGTGACTTTAACAGAATTCATATACACACCAACTGGAACAAGTTCTCCCAGAAGTCTTGAGTCATTAGCCGGAAAAGGGATAAGAAAGCCCATGCAAAGTTGTCATAACTAGTGTAGCCATAATTTGGGTTTCGGCCAGCTTTCAGGCACATGAACCCATCAGGGCACTTCCTGTGAACAGCAACCGTGAACAGGTGATTTAATATGAATATATTCAGTTTGCTTAAAACTGCTCTGAATAAAGTTTGAACTAAATTCTTTGACATTTCTCCCTGTTATTGCACCAATTCAAAGTTGCTTCTTTAGATGAGTGCTTAAAGGAGTAGTTCACTCATTTATCAAAATGAATGAATCTTTTCCCGAATCAATTCGTTCATTGACATGAAAAAATATTTGTTCATTTTGATAAACGAATTTGAACAGGAGAGTCAAAAACGTGCATCACAAAACAGAGTAAGGCGACTTATAAAACTTTTTTAAATGAGCGATCGTTACGCTTGATAAGACCCTTATTCATCGTCTGGAATCGTTTAAATCGTTTGCACTGAAACTGTCTTTTGGACCTTGAACTGTTTAGTTACCACTGAAGTGCATTATATGGAGAAAAATCCTGGAATGGTTTCATTAAAAACCTTAATTTCTTTTCGATTGAACAAAGAATGACATGGATATCTTGGATTGCATGGGGGTGAGTAAATTATCAGCAAAAGTTTTTTTTTTTTTTTTTAAAGTGAACTACTCCTTTAAGGCAAATATCATATTTGAAAAATATACCCTGCATCAGAGCTGTTCCCACAGATTAAAGGATCCATATGGCCAGGTACATAGTAGTGGTTTTCTATAGAAAGGGAATGTAGATATGTTTATTAAAGTGTTAAAAGACTGTAACTGCAGTACATGACAAGTTCTCATTCACTCTGAGCAACTACAATGTGCAGCAATTGCAGCCTACATTTGTGACTTTTTTACTTCAGTAATGTGATGTCACCTGGTTGTTCAATATATTCCGTGTAGTTGAAAAAGCCAGCTTCAGTGCCATTGACGTCTGTGTGATTGAAGGGCATGGTCAGGTTGTCACTGTAGCTCCAGACAAGTGGAGGCCATTTGACACATTTTTGCCGCAAATTTCCCATGAAGAGTTGCAGGCCAATGAGAGCAAACACGCTGAGACAGAAGACGGTGAGGATCATGACATCCGCCAGTTTCTTCACCGACTGAATCAGGGCGCCAACAATGGTTTTTAGACCTGGAATTCGTGGTTGAACAAAATGTCAGCTGATGCATTCCCAAACTGTACAAAACATTTTCACATCAAGTGAGTTGCCATGTTAAATGACATGCTGTATTTACCTGGAATTACAGTAATTGTTTTCAGGGCGCGGAGAACACGGAAAGTCCTCAGAGCGGATACATTCCCCAAGTCTACAAACTCTGTGACGTACCTGAAGTAAAAAAGACTCACAATGTTTATTATTTTAAAACCTCATAACTATTCCACTGACACGGTATACGTTCAAATTATCAATAACTTAATCATATTAATAGTTTTAAATATTACTACATAATAAAAATATATTTTTTAATACATTTTCCAATTTTGGCTTTTTACCAAAGACCAAGTAACAATAATAAAAAAAATAACGAAAAGTAAAATAAATATTTAGTAGAGCACTAAATTAAATAGACTATGCAATGGACAATGTTATATTTTAATAATAACAACAGATTCTAACATGTTTGTCTCAATCTGGATATTTCTGTACATCTGGTCTTGGGCATGACCATGATTATACACAGTGATTAAGTATACTTTCTGCTTCGATAGTAAGTTGTGACACAATGTTCTAGTGTTAATGTGTTGTATTAGCTCATTTAATTTCATACACAAGCATGGACTATAGTATCATCCCACGGTATTAAATCATTAATCAAAAACCAAAACCTCTTTTTTGGTGGATAAATCCTTGAAAATATGAGCAAAAAGTCCATTTGGAGTATTTGTAGCTCAAGAAAGTGGACATGACAAAAATATGCTTAAAGGTCATGTCGATAAAAGAGATTTGAGAGTCAGTTTTGCAGAGTCCTCTGAGGAGTGTCGAAATCGCTGGGGTAAGAGATATGTTCAGTGTAGACTATATTTAGCTTGAGTGCAACAGTCGATCACAGAAGCCAAATGGCATCATTATGTGTGTACTATGGACCAATAGCAAGTGAGATGCCAGTTGGGTAGTTGGATAACAGCATTGAATTATGACATCTGTGAACTTCAGGCGACTGTACTGTGAAAGTACAGGAGCCACGAGAAACACATTATATACAGTAGTTACTAAAGTACTGTGATTATGTGTTGAGAAAAATAAGCATTGATGAAATGTGCTGTTTTAAAATAGTCCTGATTCCTGTAGCTCAATCAGTAGAGTTTGGTGCAAACAGTGCCAAGGTCATGGGATTAATTCGCAGGGACTATTACAAAAATGTGTTCTTTAAATACAACGTAAGTCGCCTTTGGATAAAAGCTGGCAAATGCGTAGAGGTAATGTAAATCTAAAATCAAAAATAAGCTGCAATAGGAAGCTAAAATATTCATCAACAATCGGTTGTGTTCATACACTTTATATATTGAGGATTCACTTGACAAGGCAACAGGGGAAATAACATTTATACAGTTTTTCTGATAACATGCATGCCTTTATACTTGGCTATATACATATAAAATACCTTTAGCTATTAGTACCAAGTGCTATGTAAACAGCAGATGGAATCATGGAGGGAATAATGATTACTGTCTATTATTGTGGACAGTATCGGGACCACAAAAGTTCTTGTTCACCTTCAGAACTACAATCAAACCCGCAGCCTTTTAGTGTTCTGAGGAGGGCCGAAGTGTGAAGCTGCTAAAAATAGGCCTGGTAAGTGATCTCACTTTACGAGTGGATAAACATTTTCATTCAGCCAGGCTGTGATTGTAAAGGGAGGTGAGGGTGGACATGGGGAGGCGTATGGAGAAGCTGAGGAGGGCTGTCTACAGAGGACCAGGCCATGCGGGCAGCCTCATTACACTTCTGGTGATGCTATAAACACATTGACCTTTGACCTCTCACATCTGAGTGGGTATTTTCACAATGCCTTTGTGTCTAATGTGGTTACCACCAGTGTTGGGTGTAACTAATTACTAAGTAATTAGTTACTGTAATTTAATTACTTTTCCCTTAAAAATGTAAAGTAAGGGATTACTCTTCATTTATCTGTAATTTAATTACAGTTACTTCTGATGTAATTGAGGTAAATACTGTGTATAAATCAATCCGATCTCACAACGATTCGTATGCATTTTATGAGGTGTCTAAATTTCTTATGAATTATTGTAAAATATGTATGAAAAAAGTGTGAAATGTCATGAGATCAGACATAAAACAATAGTGGGTTTAACATCAAAATGTATTGTCTGATGTTAAAAAGTATGTTTTTATAATGTAACCTTCTCCACCTTGGTCAGTTTAAGGATAATTCATGCAATTTTATAGTATTTATTTGAAAGAATTAAAACAGATTAATGTCTATCGTTGTATTATTCAGCTGGTTGAGACTGATATGGGATTTTGAAAGTAATTAGTAATTAAAAGTAATTAAATACTTTTTAGAGAGAGTAATTGGTACAGTAATCTAATTACACTGTTGAAGAGGTAATTAGTAACTAGTAATTAATTACTTTTTTAGAGTAACTTACCCAACACTGGTTACCACATACCCTGACTGAGCAAAAACTGATTAGTCGCACACTATGCTTGCTGGCTATTTGGAATGGCATCTGATTATGGAAACTACTGTTAAAAATAAAGCTGGTAATGGTTCCAGTCCTCTTCTGAACAACCCATTTGCATTAAAACCACAACACTAATTGAAGGATTTATAGTGCAACATTTTGGATCTCAAAAACATTTTTTATCAATAAATTTAGAGCCATAACAAATGTTTGCACTGGCTTGTTTAGCCACTGATTTTACATTCAGGTTATTTTCATACTTACGCCATGCTGATGACCATGAAATCCAGCCAATTCCACGGGTCTCGTAGGAATGTGAAATTACCCTTGCAGAAGCCTCTGGACAGCACCTTTATCAATGCCTCAAAGGTATAGATGCCAGTGAAAACGTACCTACGAAGATCCAAATTGCACAATAAACAATCAAGGTCTATAAATGTGTCTCTATAACATCCACTTTAGGTTTCGGGTCAGCTCATTTTGTGTGAATTTTATTTCTGTCAGGACCACTATCGCAAAATACGACAATTAGCACACAGTTCGGATTGGCAGTATGGTTCTGTTCTGGGTGAGAACTCCCTGCGCTTTCATGCAGCCTAGTATGGATAAGAGCAGGAGAGCAGCAATAACCCCCCAGAACAGAGCCAAAATGAAAGTAGGCAGGTAGACTTGAGAGTCAGCTCATGCAAATTTGACTAATCTGACCTGCCAGAACGAACGAACGAACGAACGAACGAACGAACAAACAAACAAACAAACAAACAAACAAACAAACAAACAAACAAACAAACAAACAAACAAACAAACAAACAGACAAACAGACAGACAGACAGACAGACAGACAGACAGACAGACAGACAGACAGACAGACAGACAGACAGACAGACAGACAGACAGACAGACAGACAGACAGACAGACAGACAGACAGACAGACAGACAGACAGACAGACAGACAGACAGACAGACAGACAGACAGACAGACAGACAGACAGACAGACAGACAGACAGACAGACAGACAGACAGACAGACAGATAGATAGATAGATAGATAGATAGATAGATAGATAGATAGATAGATAGATAGATAGATAGATAGATGGTGCAACTCTTACTCTACTGTTTTGCTCCAGGATGGAGGGTCACTCATTGTCATGAAAGCACAGTTTGACAAGATGGTTAACATGATGAACAAGCTGAACAATTTGTTGTGAGTAAAGGAGAACTCAGAAGGATAATTTGTGCCTCTAAACTGAATGAAAACTTTGTCTCTGAGCATTAGACAAACCTACCAACTTAAACATGGAAATCAAATAACAGATGGAGAACATTAATGCTATACTATATATATATATATATATATATATATATATATTCGGTAACACTTTACAATACGTGTGCACTAATAAGCATTAATTCATGCTTAACTAATGCACAGATAATACTGAATTAATGTGTGACTAATGATTATTTAAGCTATTCATTAATGATTACCACATTAGGAACTAAGTAAGAGTCTGTAAGGTTAATGTATTCGTTCATACATGAATTGTTATTAATTAAATATGTAATTGTGGATTAATTCCATAATAACTAATTTTTTTTTTAAACTAATAGCGTTAATTAATATGTTAATTACCAGAAGCCAAAGCCTTGTATTTCAACTTCCAGGTAATATGACAGGTACACTAATATGCATTAATACATGATTAATTACTTCATTGTTAGTGCAAATTCATGTGCAAATTACTACAATTACTAAATGACTAGTTAATGATGATGTGCCTCATCAAGTAAAGTCATAACATAATGATACCTTTGCAAATCATTAGCTAATGATTAATTAAAGCAGACAACTGGAAGTTGAAGTGCATAGCTTTGACTAATTGTGGTAATTAACACATTAATTTACACTATTAGTTAATAAAATATGTTATTAAGGAATTAATACACAATGACACATTGAATTAATAGCAATTCATGTATTACTTAATCTATTAATCATATTGACTCTTTATTAGTTGCTGATGCAGTAATCGTTAATTAATGGTTTAGTTCTTAATTAGTTATACATTAACTCATGATTATCTGTGATTTAGTTAAGGATGAATTAATGCACATTAGTGCACCCGTATTGTATTGTGTTACCATATATCCTAATCTAATCTATTTCTATAGGTTATATTTAATATAAAGGATATGAATGTATGAGTATTTTTATGGCTAGTTGTCGAATAGGGTTGAAGGGACTTAGAATGTAGCAGGCAGGTTCAGCATTGAATCTGAATATTGTTTTCCCTTTGGTGATCACGATGAAAGTCTGAAAAACAGAAAAAGGGGACAGAACACCTCTTGTGGAGTAACTATTATTCTTATAAGCCAGACTTGTAAAAAAAAATGTTGACATCACTGGTATTTTACTTTTGCCACTGACTTTTTGTGCTTTGTAGAATGGATCCAACTCTTCAATAGGAACATTGAGGAGCTTTGGTGGAGGGTCTCCGTAGATGAACGGTAGGGACTTTCCTGCTTCCAAATCACTGCTGGGTTTGGGCAGATCTTCTTCAGCCACCTCGATATTCTGGGCCTTCATGTGTTCCTGCTCGGCGGCTTCTTCTGCCATCCGCCGCTCGATCTCGGCGAGCGACTCCAAAGTGAAGGGGCGGAACGCATCGATGCCACTGTGAGGGAGTAGGCATGCCATCTTGACATTCTGCTGAAGGAGGGCTGCCACCACTTCGGGGTCTCTCAATTGTTCCCTGCAGGGATAGAGAAAGGTGGTACATTAAAAACAGGTGTGGTACTTTAGTAAACCCTCTCTGAAAGTCATCACATGAGATATTAGACCGTCTGTAATGTAGACAGTCATGCTAAGCAAGTATTTAACAATTAATTACATTTCTGTCAATTAAAAAAAGGAAATTATGAAATTACAGCTTATAATTTATTTTAGAAATAGCATTTGTAATCACATTTTACTTTTCTGCAATCATAAAACATTAGTGTATTTCTCAAGAGTTAGAAATAGATCAGGATATTTATAGTTTAAATAATGAGTTAAATAAAGTGAGATTTTATACACTAGACTTTTAAAAATTATGTCAATAAGAAGTCAATACTTTACTTAAAAATATTAAAATGATCAAAAAAGAAAAAAACTGACACTAAAGACTTCTACATATACATGATCCTTCATAAATCATTCTAATATGATGTATTATCAATGTTGGAAACAGTTGTGCAGCTTATTTTTTTATAACCTGATACTTTTTCCAGAATTCTTTGATGAATAAAAAAAAAAAAAGAAAGAACACAATTTATTTATAATAGAAATATTTTGCGATGTACACTACTATTCAGAAGTTTGGGGTCAGTAATTTGTTTTCTTTCTTTTTTTTTAAAGAAATTCATATTTTTTTGTTCAACAAGGATGTGTTCAATTAATAAAAGTGATAGAGATTTGTATTGTCAAAAAAGATTTCTATTTTGAATAAATGCTGTTCTTTTTACATTTTCATCAATGAATCCTGAAAAAAGTATCACAGGTTCCAAAAAAATAAAAAAAATATTATCCATCAAAACTGTTTCCAACATTGATAATAACTGAGCACTAAATCATCATGTTAGAATGATTTCTGAAGGATCATGTGACAATGAAGACTGGAGTAAAGCTGCTGAAAATTCAGCGTTGCATCACAGCAATAAATAAGATATTAAAGTATATCAAAATAGAAAACAAATATTTTAAATTTTAATAATATTTCACAATAAAAGTGTTTTACTATATTTTTGATTTCAAAGAAATGCAGTCTTGATGAGCATAACAGACTTTCTTTTGAAAAGTACTGTATTATAAAATGTTTTGGGTTTTTCCTCTTCATATAGTGAGGTGTCTATTTCTTGTAAGTTTGAGATATATAGTCATGCAGGATCTTTCCTTTTTCAGTACAATGAAATGTCTAAATTAAGGCAATGAAAACTTTCCTTAAAACATAAATCAAAGCATTATATTCCACAGTTTTACTAAACTGTACATCATTATTAAAACGGAAATACTCTCAAATTTGCACAGCACCGCCAACCAAACAACTGTAATCGGGCCGCACAAAAAATGAGCAATTGCGACAAATAGTCGCAATTAAGTTACATATATTGACCCAACAAACTTACAGTTGACGAGGCCATAGTTTTAGCTTCTTCTTAGCTCTGATTGGTTGAGGAGCACGGTTCCTACTCCAAAACTCCGACAGGTTTATCTTCCGCTTATTCATGTCTGCTGTGTCCCCAGTTTCAGCACACAGTTAAAAGCTCTCGACAAATTGAAGAATGCTACTCAGACTGTGTGCTGAAGTTTGCGGGCCGCTGTTTTACTTCTGGGTCCAACTAGACCAAGATGAGACCCTGCCCCCTCAGAGTATCAAAACCAGCACACAAAGACTCGATTGAAGATGATTTTCCACTTTAAAAGATTTGCCCCAGAAAACTGTCTGTAAAATGTGATCACTAAATGAGAAGAAACACCATAGTTGTTGAGAAGTGTCATTTATCAGACACTCATATCTAATTATAAAAGAACAAAGTTCTGATTTTAACATTGCATCACATTATAATTACAAAACAACATTTATCATCATTATTTGAATATTATTTTCTAGTGACAGCTTATATTTCTGCACCTGTTTACAAAAATCATTGGGTTCTTTTATGTGAAAAATCAATAAAATTACATCACTACTGTTCAAGTCTTTTTGCAGACTCCACACACAGGCTGTGACTCACTGCACATGAACGTAAAAGAGTGAGGAGCACTGGTAACTTCCCAGAAGTTGTGTTTTGGTGCTAATTCCACCCAGCAGGAAAATGTGCATTTGATCACAGATCCCTCACTGACCATCTGATAAATACTGCACACAAAAATATCAAAACAGCAAGGCCCAATCTCAGAAGCTGTGGTGATGGTCAAAAAGTCACTTTAGCAGTGTTCATTCATGCCATTATATTTTGAAATAATACTGTATATTCCTGAGCACACCTTTATTTGCCTTGATCCAAGAAATATATTTACCCCCCCAAAAATAAAAATAGGGATGGGATCTAAACATTTTGTTTGATACCAATCATTATTTATATTTTGAAGCAAAATCTGATATTAGACGTTGTCACAATTTGGTCTCGTCTGTCAGGTTGTCACGTCAAGTTCCATGTCTGTCATGTGATTCCCTGTTTGTCATGTGATCCTGCCATGAGTCTTTTCATTGGTTAATTGTCTGATCATTGTTTGCAGGTGTCCCTTGTCATTAGTCTGTGTATTTAAAGGGATAGTTCACTTTGAAATAAAGTTTTGGTATGTTTTAGCTTACCTCAAGGGCATCCAAGATGTAGGTGTCTTTGTTTCCGCAGAGGTTTCAATTTAGGTGATATTTTTAGGTTCTTGTCTGTCAGTCAAATAACGCAGGTCTTGCGAGCAACGAGCGAATATAAGAGGTAAAAACAATATAAATACTGTTCGTTTTCTCACACAAACCGCTCATTTCGTGTCTTAGGCCATCAATGTGTACTTACATTTACGAGTCATTAAATCATGTTTAATCTGGACTTCTCTGTGCATGCTCTTTGAGGTGGTGACCATAGACGTCCATTATATGACTGACAGACAAGAACGGTTTGACCTAAAAATATCAAAAATGAAAATACTGTTGAAACAAAGACACCTACATCTTGGATGCCCTTGAGGTAAGCTAAAACATATCAAAAATTAATTTCAAAGTGAACTATCCCTTGTCATGTTTGCTATGTGTCCTTGTCACGTTTTATTTCAATGTAATCTCTGTCGGTAAGTGTCATGTCACGTTTTTCATTTTATGCTTTAGTTTCATGCCTCATACAAAGTTTTTGTTTTGTTTAATTGATAAATATACAACTTGCCTTCAGTCGATATTTACAAAAATGTAAATGTAAGACTGATTACAAAATAAATATGTATTTGAAACAACACTAAACCATGTCCCTATACAATGGAAAAATAATTTTCATTTTAAAACAATCACAACTTCAGAAAACAATCTTTTCTATTCCATATCCGTTTAACAAATGTGGACTTGTGAGGAAAATTGTACCTACAGTTAAATAGACAAAACGTTTAACTTTTCATGTAACTAAGAACAGAGAATATAAACTTGTACCAGATCAAATTAAATATTTTATTTGAATTGTGTATTTGTATTCACTTTATTTTAAAAGGAATTCACTGATTTTGAAATAGACATTAATATATTGTCCATTCCAAGTCATGTTTAAAGTCAAAAGTCCTAATCTACAGTATGAGATTATATTAAAAAACGCTATTGAACCCCCACACCCCACACCCCTATCTATCATCAAAATCTTTTAGTCACTAAATGTACTTAGAACATTTATGGTTCTCTTTTGACACGCTTTGGAATCTTCCCACTGATCCATGTGCTGAGTGTTGAGACCTGTGTTTATGTCGCTCCTTAAAGCGCCGGTCAGGGTCATTCCACTGTTACATAACACAGACTCACCTGTTCTGACAGGAATGTGTCTCTAATGAGGCCTATTATGTTTGGAATGACTGCCGGTGATTCATATAGCTGTCGCCTTCTGGCAAACAGGTGTTTGGGTTCTTCAGATTGTGCTAAAGTGAATTTAATGAATTTGTCATGATTTAGAGTGTGGTTCTGTGAAGTTGGGAGGGGCCGAAGCTGAAGACTCATGCCGTACCTCAGCAGCTGCTGTAGGCCATCACCCCGTATGGCGTCGGGTTACTGGTGACTCTACTCATTCCTGACGTGTGTTTGCTCGCTTACATTGTGCCGATGTACAAGTCACGCCTCCTGATAAATCCCTCCCGCCCACTGCTCAATCATTCTACGGGGTCTACAAACAAACTACACACTTCCTCTGCATCTATCTATCTATCTATCTATCTATCTATCTATCTATCTATCTATCTATCTATCTATCTATCTATCTATCTATCTATCTATCTATCTATCTATCTATCTATCTATCTATCTATCTATCTATCTATCTATCTATCTATCTATCTATCTATCTATCTATCTATCTATCTATCTAAAATTCACATGAGAGGAGGAAATGCTTCCATCACAATATGATAGGCTGTTCAAATAATAAATCCGACTTTTTCTTTTTGTTCATGAGTCTGATCAGTCTGAATGAACAAATAATGATGCTAATGGAACGACTAATAAAAAAAGGAAACAACTCTCCGACTTTGTCATGTCAAAATCACCTGAAATTGAAAACGTGATATGTGAAGGTTAAGTGAGTTTGGTTCCTCACTAATTAAAGGTACATCACGGTGTCTGTTAAACCCATGAGTGTTTACCGAGCTTCAATGACTGATTATCTAAAAATAAGTTGACTATAAAAAAGAACAGCTGAACATGAGCTCACAAATAAAACAGATGTAATTTGAAATTTGCTCCTTTTTTGATAGTGCGAGTACTGTTTATTTGTAACATTAAGTGTAACTGGAGCGTGAATCTGGACTTTGCCTCCTCATTTAAGAACACAATTGTACACCACTATTATACACAGTTTACTGCACACTTTTGTCCAGGACAAACTGCAGCTCATAATGTCTCTTTTGACATTTGTGTTCTTCCTCTGACTTATCAAGATGTAAACAACAGATTCACTAAACAAGCTGGAAGTTTCAGTTTGGCCCCTTTGGTGTTAGTTTGGCCAACATGGTGTTGGCTCATTTGTCTGCATCAGTGGGCTTGATGAAAAGCAAGGATAAATAACGACCTTCTGAAACCTAAAATGTCAAATGGGACACTCTACAATGTTCTACAACGGCCTGCAAATACACATCAAGTTCTCCATTCGGGACAGGGCTTTCGAGGGGACTGTAAACCTGTTAGATTGGGTTACATGTACTGGACCCCTCCTTCAAACACTCCCGTCAGGTTATTTTTCATCTCAGGCTGCCAGAGATGGATGATGACTGATATTTTCCCACAACTATTGGGCTTCAATGCACCAATCTGGTCTCCTTTTGATCACGCACACTTTGGTTTGCTCTTTCACCCTCTCTTCGTCGGTCTCTGTCTCAAGGGAGTCAGAGGGGCAACAACAGAGTCTGAATAACAACTAGAAGAATATATATATCTGAATATATATATATATATATATAAGCGACATGATTTTTAGAAAGGAACACGCAAAACACAACAGTAAAAAGAATTAGGGAGATTTAATAAATTATGTAGCCTATGATTTACTGCCATTGTAAGAATGATACTGTAGCCTATGTAATAAAATAATCAAAAAAGTAACTGTAGTCTGATTATACGAATTTTAAAACGTAGTATTATCTATTTAAAGCAACTTATTTTTTGGAGTCTGATTACGTAATCCAGATTACATGTCATCCATTACTACCCAACAGTGTGTGTGTGTGTATATATATATATATATATATATATATATATATATATATGAAGAGTTCAGATGTAAAAGCCTCTAAATGCCATTTGAAATTTTCTTCTTTGATGATGATTTTTATCAAACTTGTATATTTAAGTTCAGTAATTTCACTTAAATAACAATTAATAGGTAATTATCATTGCCATTTAAGTGAAATCACTGAACTTAAATATACAAGTTTAATAAAAATCATCAATAAAGAAGAAAATTTAAAATGGCATTTAGAGGCTTTTGCATCTGAACTCTTCATATATATATATATATATACATATATAGATATACACACACACACATATAAACAAATAACACAAAATAATACAATATAATATAATTAAAAATAAGAAAATATGAGTGTGTTTTATAATTAAAAATGTGTTAGATTTTATTAATAATTTAATCACTTTTTATTAAAAATAGTACTCTTGAGTCTTTTGTCACAATATAAACATTTATATGCATCCTGAATAAAAGTACACGTAAACATATATTCAAAAATCTCAATATTCAGATTCTTAGATGCATACACCTGACCACACGCATTATCATTCTATAAATAAATTCGTAAAATAGCAGTTTCCTATAGTCTCTCTTTTAAAGGAATGGCATAAACAGCATGTCCCATCAATGGTTGTTAAAGGATTGTGTCACTGTCAGACTTCGTGACAGCCAACCAGGCCACCAGACCTCACAGTCAGCAGATCAGAGACACGATTTCTGCTTGTGCAGAATCGCTATGCACCATATTCTGCGAAGCCATGGGGCCCGAGCTGAGACCTGAGAACTAGAGTCTCCCTGACACAGACGCAATCCAAACAGGCCATTAAAGTCTGATACATCCAAC